GTCTAGACAATTTTTGGTTTCACCTACATTGGAGTGGGGAAATCTACCATTGAGGTGTTGAAACCAAGCTAATAATTATCCACATTGTCCACAATGGGGTGATTTGTGAAACTATGTTGCAAGACGTTGTCCAACAAGTGGTTAATGTGTAACTTCACCTATTTTGGGGCTTTTCCGTTGTGAGGGTGTGGGTTATCTGTTCTGAAATAAATAACCTGCCTGCCATCAAGCAGGACTTGGCTTTTGGCTGGGTAGGACGCAGAGGCCTCCTTGCCAGCCGTTAAGACATCTCCTTGTTACATGGAAGTAAAAAACTAATCCCTTGTCTGTTGAGTGCATTTGTCCAGATAACTGTAGTAGAACCCCTTTTTAACAGGAGCCAAACCGACTAATCATATTCATTACAATTTCACAAACATTGTTCTATGGCTACGGGAGCAAATCATGGCGCGGCGGCACCATCTCCTTTGCACAGTGCGGCGAGGGGCGTTCGATGCCGCTTGCGGCTTTAATTACATATTGTTCCTTTAATAAGACTGTTGGGATAAAATGAGTCTCTCCAGCTTTAAGTGAAATGCTGTCCTGCGCTGGCTGTGTGATAATGCTGTTGGTGGGGCTTTCAGCTTAAGCAGGGCTCCTGATGATATTTCACACCAACACAGAGACAAAGTTCATCCTTTTTCCTTGTTTACATTATACAAGGAGAATGTCTTTGACCAGCGGCAGGCTCAGACCCCGCCTCTCTCAGGGACATGGATCTGCTGATTCACCGATGGCATTCCTTTTTGGTAGAGCAAGACGCCACCCTTCGTATGCAGCATGGGAACTGGAAGAACCCACACAAACAAAAGGACTCTTTTGTATTAGCGTAAACAAAGAATGCTGTGTTTAAACATATGAGCCTCCCGAGCCTCGTGGAGTTTTGGCTGGCGCTGAAGTGCATTACCGAAGAGCGCATTCAGCATATAGACACATATGATTTGTACCAAAATGCTAACTTAAGTTACATTCCAATATCATATTTCCCTCCCTTGTATATCCTTTTGATAACTCAAACAATCTATGTGTAAACCTGGAGAACAGGGAGAACTGAAAATGACAAAAACACACATCCAAACTGGACAAAGAAAAAAAATGTTCATGAGTTATCATTTCCACATTGTTGGTTCCATAAACTGTTTCCCCCTGTTGAGACATAACATGGCTCAAAAGACTGGAACACATGCAGGCAACTCTGAAATGTCTTAACTTTACCTTGTATTAACTTTGGTTAATCAAATTCACCACCACGCACACGCCCAAAAAGCCCCGAAAAACCAAAGTCCATTTTCACAGTCCCATTGTCAGTCCCATATGACACGTCCTCTCGACCCCTTCCTCATGTTTTGGTGATGACCAGAAATGTCCACTCTGTTCCTGTTTCGAAACTCTTCTCTGTCTGCGTTTCCGACGCACGACTAGCAGCAAGCCATTCTCCAACACCGACACAAAAGCTGAACGTTCAAGTCACAAATGTTACCAAAGTTGTCACCTTCATTTCCTCGTCTCCATATTAACTTGAACGAAGGCCCGCGCCCTCCATGGGCCTGCGCGCTTTGATCCTTGCAAATCGGCGCCGGGAGTATTTGTCAGCAGCTTCCGGTGCGGGGGGGGGGAATGTGTGGAGGGTCGTTTCGTAGGTGTCGATGGGCTGTATGGAGATGGAGGGGGGGGTGGGATTTCTGTTCCCCCAATGGAAATATGGTGGATTTTTGGTTGCTTTGAAGCTGTGGGCAGGGTGTGGCATTTTCTCAAAATCCCAAGAAAGCTCATTTGTTACGACATTTCCGAATCAAAACATAAGGAGGAAGGGTCATTCTAAACCAGGAAACTTTGACAAAGGACAACGAAGAGGACTCCCACAGAACAAAGAAGGACACAGACAACACAAAAAAACCCAGGGCCAGAGGACAAAGGAAACCCCATGGCCACCCAAAAGGGCCGCCCTACACATGCTTGCCAGTTACCTTTTTTTTTTTAGGTGTGTTTACAATGTCCAATTCCAAATTGTGGAGTAATTTAAAGGGCTTTTAAACATCCATCTCAATTTAGTGTATGGCGAAGATCGTTAAATTGTCCAATTTCAGTTTTAGAAGTGATGTCAGATGTTCAGTCCGAAGTTAATTCAATTCGAACACCATTCCTTTATAACAGGCGTAACTCTGCGTTCCTTTCAATTCAAAATGCACCCCCGTTCACGTTGTGATACTGCCAGTAAATAGTAGTCCCGACTTACTTCTTCATATACTACCCCGTTCTATTAGACACGTCTATGATAGTCCCCGACTATCTAAAGCGTAAAACCCCGTTTATCCCGGCCTCGACTGTCTGCAATCGTGTCCCGGACTATTTAACAAAAAGGATAAATCCCCGTTATCCCAGGCCTGTTTGTCATGTTGGAATCCCCGCCTGTCCAAAAGGTAATATGACCTCTTTGAATGAAACCCCGTTCATTCGAGCTCTGTAATAAAAGGCCTTGACTAAAGGCATAACTCTGCGTTATCCGAAATGAACGTGTTCATGTGAACTTTTCACACTACTGATCCTGGATTACTTTTGGACATAATTTAGTGTTTAGAAACGTGCCTTTGGTGCAATTTCATCAGGCAAAAACTGTAGGTCTCCCGTGGACTCCAACCCAGGGCTGTCCTGCCTCAAACCTGGAGTTCCAAATGCAGTTCCGAATGCAGACAGCCCTTGGTTGTTGCTCCTGGCAAGTCCATGTTTGAGACAAGCTCAGGCTCCTGTCAACGAAGTGGTTGGGATCCGGCTCGAAGGACCACGTGATAATGCTGTTTTCAGCTACAGTTTCGGAACCGGAGGAAATCGCACACCACAAGGAGACACAGTGAAATCGTGACTTTGTTCCATTGTACAAGGAGAATGTCGGTGACCGAGGCAAGGCTCAGACCCCCAGCCTCTCGCAGGACAAGTCTGATGATTCACAGATGGCAATTACCCTTTTGGTAGGGCAAGACACACCTTCAGTATGCAGCATGGGAAAGGAAAGAAACCAACACAACCAAAAGACAACTTTGTATTTAGCGTAAACAAAGCATCGCGGTGTTGAACACTAGGAGCTCCCCAGACCTCGGGAGTTTTGCTGGAGGCTGATGTGGAATTACAGAATATGCGCCTGCAGCTTATAGCCCACAGATGAGTGTGACCAAATGATAACGTAAGTTACTTTCCATTCCAATCTCACTGGGCATGTGTAGGGATTAAAGTAGTACTAGAATTTCAGAAACATATGCTGCTACACATTTCTACAGATATATAACTACAATATGTGTTTTCTGATAATATTTCTTTTTTTTTTGCGCAATTTACGTTAGGCTGTGTTCACATTTGACATGTTCAGATGAATATAGTATAAAAAACTGCTTTGAAGTGGCATGTTCACTTTTCACTTCCGCATAGAAACGCTAGGGGGAGCCAAAATGGCGGCGATGACGTAGGAGAAGGACCTCTCACAGCAGCAGCAGCAGTCTGGCTGAATCTGTAGGAGGTTTCACTGTCATCTGAACAAGGAATAAACATATTTTCATCCGTTTTGTACATAATAGTGTGCAACTCTTTTAGCTTAACAAGCTTTAGCTAACTTACTTGATATCAAAAAACATGATAATATTCGTTTTTAAATTTATGCATCAGATTTATTTTACCACAATGTACATTGAATATATCCATAAAGTATCTAACACTTTTTAATCAACAATTTTAGTCTATGATTTCAACTTTCTGCAGCCTTTTTTGTTCATAAAGAGGTAAAATATTTATTTAATTCAAGTTATTTTGATTAGCATTTATGGATATTACAATGTACATTGTGGTAAATAAATCTAAGGGCACCAAAGTGAGACTGGCATAATGTAAAAACTGAAATATATTAGCCATTGTTAGCATGTTTTATGATATCAAGTAGAGTTGTAGCTAACTTGCCCAACACTAATTAGCTTGAATCTCACAAATAAGGCTAAAGGTTAAAAGAGTTGCACACTATTATGTACAAAACTGATGAAAAATATGTATTATACCTTGTTCAGATGACAGTGAAACCTCTACAGTTCAGCCAGACTGCTGTTCTGCTGCTGTGAGAGGTCCTTCTCCTACGTACATCCGCCGCAATTTTGGCCCCCCTAGCGTTGCTCTGCGGGAAGTGAAAAGGTCAGATATTCAGACGCTGTTTTTATTAAATATAATCCCCTATGATACATATCAAAATGAACACCCAGAAAATATTATAATACACATATTGTAGTTATATATTCTGGATAGCAGGCATTAAATTCTAGTACTACTTAGGTATAATAATAAGTATAGTGGAATAAATGTTTATTTTCTTCCACAGTTTGTTTTATTCAATTGACACAGATCTAAAGACAAACAATGAAAACAAAGACCTTAGGGCTCAGTATTCACATTTAAATAATAACCATAATGAACGTGCCTGTGAGGGATACTTTTCCTCATGACACCGTTTAGTGGAATTTGGACCAGTGGTAACAACAGATCAAAGAGTAGTAGTATTATTAGCCTTCTGCTTTTGTTTGTATCCTGTTATATAAATGTGTTTATCTCTGTTCAAACACCCGTCTTGAGATTGTTTATACCAATGATAAAAATCAAAGCCATGAATAGCATAAATCACAAACACTCACAACAGCACTGGTCTCAGTCTGTTTCCATAGCGACAGTCTAACTAATTATCTTTCTCCATGGTGTTATTGTTTTTGGGTCTTAGTTGTCTGCGCGCCACAATGGCCACAGAGTTCACAGCTGCTGGCTCTCTTCCTTCACACTGCTGCTTTTACCAGGAACGTGGCCTCCACGGCTTCCTGTGCTGCCGGGATGAGTTCTGACACAGAGACAACATTTAGGTCAGGGAACCACTGAAGACCAGTGAGGACCAACAAGGGCAAGATGGAGGCGCCAGCAGTGGGGGCCAACAAGGAAGCAAGATGGAGGGCAGCAGCACGTGGGGCCCCAACGAGGAGCAAGATGGAGGAGCCAGGGGGGGGCCCAAGTGGGCCCACAGGCGCAGCGAGGGCAATGAGAGGGTACCCTACTCCTAACCCGGATCACAGAGAGTGCTAAACCACAGATTTAGTGTGACACAAAAGAGACACTAAAACATTGGAAAAGCGATTTGTTTTTTGATCTGGAGCATTATAAACCATTGACAAAAAGTCAAAAGAGGCCAGACTTTTACCATTGCGCAAACGGGTTAGCTGTTACAACCACTGGCACAAGGCTGCCGCCAATTCCTTCCATCCCTCCTGTGTGTGTGTGCTGCTGTTTGCCCCAGGCCTGTCCACATGTGTCCACATGTGTCCACATGTGTGCTGCTGTTTGCCCAGGCCTGTCCACCTGTGTCCACCATGTGTCCCACATGTGTCCACATGTGTGATGCTGTTGTTTCTGCCCAGGCCTGTCCACATGTGTTCCAAGGTGGACCAATGTGGACACATGTGTGATGCTGTTCTGCCCAGGCCTGTCCACATGTGTCCACCATGTGGACCCATGTGGACACATGTGTGATGCTGTTCTGCCCAGGCCTGTCCACATGTGTCCACATGTGTCCACATGTGTGTGCTGTTCTGCCCAGGCCTGTCCACCATGTGTCCACATGTGTCCACATGTGTGATGCTGTTCTGCCCAGGCCTGTCCACAGGTGTCCACATGTGGACAATGTGGACACATGTGTGATGCTGTCTGCCAGGCCTGTCCACATGAGTCCACATGTGTGCTGTGTTCTGCCCAGGCCTGTCCACATGTGTCCACCTGTGGACACATGTGGAACACTGTGTGATGCTGTTCTGCCAGGCTGTCACATGTGTCCACATGTGTCCACCTGTGTGATGCTGTTCTGCCCAGGCCTGTCCACATGTGTCCCACATGTGGACACATGTGGACACATGTGTGATGCTGTTTGCCCAGGCCTGTCCACATGTGTCCACATGTAGTCCACATGTGGACACATGTGTGATGTGTTTGCCAGGCCTGTCCACATGTGTCCACATGTGTGTGCTGTTTCTGCCAGGCCTGTCCACATGTGTCCACATGTGTGCTGCTGTTCTGCCCAGGCCTGTCCACATGTGTCCACATGTGTCACATGTGGACACATGTGTGATGCTGTTCTGCCAGGCTGTCCACATGTGTCCACATGTGGACACATGTGGACACTGTGTGATGCTGTTCTGCCCAGGCCTGTCCACCTGTGTCACATGTGGACACATGTGGACACATGTGTGATGCGCCAGTTCGTGTGCTGTCTGCCAGTTCTACACCCCTTGACTGAGAATGGGTACTGTCTTCTGATTCAGCCAATCTGACTCTCCAGCTACACCACCCGCCAAACCCCAACAAACGCTATCAGAGGTATCAGAGGCTGAGAGGACAGAGTATCGTGGATTTGACTATCCCGAAGCATTTGGAGCATCTGGTTTGCAACTGTATCTAGTATCCTTGCAGAGGCGAAGCATCTGAACAACGCCCCTACTGTATTCTACCAGTCTGGTGGATCAGTTCCATTTTGGCCCGGCGCTCTCCTTTTTCAACGCATCTTACTGTGACTACCAAACAGTTATGGGGTTTTGACCCTCAACCACATTACATCTGATTTATGTTTAATTCCTTTCCTCCGAACAAGTCAACGGATTGCAACACTGGCATTGCCCTCTATATACAGAAGATGGCGAAGTGCGTTTTAAATCTATTTCTTCCCTGGACTGTTGTTGCCACGTGTGTTCTTTGTAGCCGGAATGCATTTATGTACAGCTTCCCCAAGGGTCAGGGTTTACAACAAATTAGACCTAGTATTCGCAAGACCACAATACAGCTTCCAAATAGAGAGAAATATAATATACGTCAAAGGTGATGGTTTATAGAGTTGGGGAGTTTTGACCCTGAGGATACCCTTAGGGTAAGCCAAACCCTGACCCAGTTGGGAGGTGTTTTTACCCTTGCTGCCGTCGGAGTTTGGCTGCCTCTGCCTCGCCGCTGCTCTCTCTGCTCCTGCAGGTTTTAACACTTTCTTCTGAGTGAACCAAAGCAGCTTCTGACACGTCGAGTCACAGTAAATCCCCTGAAGAAGCAGGTGGAAATATGTTTAGGAGGGAGAGGCCTCATGTTGTGCCGGTGATTAGGGTTACTTTAACGGTGCAGTGAGCGATTTTGTTTGCTTAGCTATAGCCACCAACTAGAAACCACTCCCCCCCTCCCTCTCACCAACCTCAGGCCTGTTTATATGAGACGCTGCGGCAGACGTTTCCAGGCTAACAGAAACGACCTGGCTCCTGGGCGACAGTCGCTCAGTTGGTAGCCAATTGGCCCTTCAGGCCTGCAAGGTCGAGGGTTCCCCTCCCCACCTCTACCACCCTCTCCCCCCACCGACTCCCACTGAGCCTGCCGTCTATGAGACCTTGGGCCCCGCCACACTACACCCCCCACCCCCCCCACCCACACCCCCCCCCACCTCCCCCCACCCCCCCCCCCCCCCCCCACCCCCCACACCCCACCCCTCACCCCGCAGCCTTCCAGAGGCACTCCAGGCGTCGTGGCAATACACCCTATGACACCTTCTCCACACCACCCCCCCCCCCACCCACCCACACACCCCACCCCCCCAAAGACTCACACACATGATGACATGCGGACTGGCTCCTAATGCCACAACCAGGTCCAGAGCCCCACTGAGTCAAGGCCGCCACGCGGTCAGGCGCCAGGGGGTCAGAGCAGCAGGAGGTGGGGGTCAGAGCAGCAGGAGGTGGGGGTCAGAGCAGCAGGAGGTGGGGGTCAGAGCAGCAGGAGGTGGGGTCAGAGCAGCAGGAGGCGGGGGTCAGAGCAGCGCGGAGGTGGGGGTCAGAGCAGCAGGAGGCGGGGGTCAGAGCAGCGCGGAGGTGGGGGTCAGAGCAGCAGGAGGCGGGGGTCAGAGCAGCAGGAGGCGGGGGTCAGAGCAGCAGGAGGTGGGGGTCAGAGCAGCAGGAGGTGGGGGTCAGAGCAGCAGGAGGTGGGGGTCAGAGCAGCAGGAGGCGGGGGTCAGAGCAGCAGGAGGTGGGGGTCAGAGCAGCAGGAGGTGGGGGTCAGAGCAGCAGGAGGTGGGGGTCAGAGCAGCAGGAGGTGGGGGTCAGAGCAGCAGGAGGTGGGGGTCAGAGCAGCGCGGAGGCGGGGGTCAGAGCAGCAGGAGGTGGGGGTCAGAGCAGCGCGGAGGCGGGGGTCAGAGCAGCAGGAGGTGGGGGTCAGAGCAGCAGGAGGCGGGGGTCAGAGCAGCAGGAGGTGGGGGTCAGAGCAGCAGGAGGTGGGGTCAGAGCAGCAGGAGGTGGGGTCAGAGCAGCAGGAGGTGGGGTCAGAGCAGCAGGAGGCGGGGGTCAGAGCAGCGCGGAGGTGGGGGTCAGAGCAGCAGGAGGCGGGGGTCAGAGCAGCGCGGAGGTGGGGGTCAGAGCAGCAGGAGGCGGGGTCAGAGCAGCAGGAGGTGGGGGTCAGAGCAGCAGGAGGTGGGGGTCAGAGCAGCAGGAGGTGGGGGTCAGAGCAGCAGGAGGTGGGGGTCAGAGCAGCAGGAGGCGGGGGTCAGAGCAGCAGGAGGTGGGGGTCAGAGCAGCAGGAGGTGGGGGTCAGAGCAGCAGGAGGTGGGGGTCAGAGCAGAAGGAGGTGGGGGTCAGAGCAGCAGGAGGTGGGGGTCAGAGCAGCAGGAGGTGGGGGTCAGAGCAGCAGGAGGTGGGGGTCAGAGCAGAGGGAGGTGGGGGTCAGAGCAGCAGGAGGTGGGGGTCAGAGCAGCAGGAGGTGGGGGTCAGAGCAGCAGGAGGTGGGGTCAGAGCAGCGCGGAGGCGGGGGTCAGAGCAGCAGGAGGTGGGGGTCAGAGCAGCAGGAGGTGGGGGTCAGAGCAGCAGGAGGTGGGGGTCAGAGCAGAGGAGGTGGGGGTCAGAGCAGCAGGAGGTGGGGGTCAGAGCAGCAGGAGGTGGGGGTCAGAGCAGCAGGAGGTGGGGGTCAGAGCAGCAGGAGGTGGGGGTCAGAGCAGCAGGAGGCGGGGGTCAGAGCAGCAGGAGGTGGGGGTCAGAGCAGCAGGAGGTGGGGGTCAGAGCAGCAGGAGGTGGGGGTCAGAGCAGCAGGAGGTGGGGGTCAGAGCAGCAGGAGGTGGGGGTCAGAGCAGAGGGGGATTTCACACCTTTTCCCTCTCGCGGGTGTGAAAGAGCCCCCGCTGTGCAGTGTTTCTGAGTTGTCCCACTCTGAGGCTGGATCTGAACACTTACGTTTTCACCTGGAACAGTCTTCGTATGAACAGTTGGTAGCAACCGACATCCAACTATACCGTTTTACTGCCACATTGTCTCCGTGTAAACTCAGCCTCAAAGTCACAAAGTGAGTTAGTCGAGCTTTAAGATGAGATTGGTCATAATGTTATTTTACTGCCCTTGGTTTGAATATAGTTTTTATTGTCTCCAGTCGTGTTACAGTCTGTCTCTTTTCACAGGTGCCTTTGCTGCCACTCGTGCCAGTCGCCAGCATGTTCATAAACGTATACCTTATGATGCAGCTGGACAGAGGGACATGGATCCGCTTTGCTATTTGGATGGTCATAGGTAAAGTGCAATATACAAGATTATCTATTTATTTTATTGATTTGGTTTATTTGAGAAGGCATTGATTCAGAAAACATGGGCAAACAGTCAGATTTACGCATTGTCCCATTTCCACCAGGCCTACTCTTCTCTACCGGCCCTCTCTAACTGGTACCACATACTTTGTTATTCGAGTCAAAAGGCTCCCATTAAATCTTGGGTAGAGTAGAGTAGGGCTGGTGGAAACGAGGCTTATCATAGTGCTTTTAGCTAGTTTTCAACACACAGATGTGATATGTTGCTAGAATCAAAAGAGATAAACAATGTTATATATTTATGAATACAATTCAATGCATTAAAGTTTGGTAAAAACATGCTTTTTAAACGGCCCAATCTCCACTGGAGGCTGCTCAGGCAGTTTACTGACGCAGCTGCTCAGTGGTTGGTGCAAACACATTACCACATTTAAACAACAGAGACGAACATTTAGGAAATGTAAGAATGATAACGTTTTGCAGTGTTTACATTTAAATGAACGGTGGTCAAACACCTTGTAAAATCTTTCAAGTGGGTTCAATGCAGTTTGACGAGTATGTGACCAGGCTGTGGCTCCATAGGACAGATGGGACAAGATCGTCAGATTTAAAAATATTGCACACTATGTGGTTAGACTTATTCTGACTATTTTGAATAAATTGATGTTGGATTTTTTTTGTTCTATAAATTCCTTGTTTATTTGAATTCGCAGACGTCTAGTGGGGGCTTTTTTGAGAAACAGATAAACTTGGTTTTCTTTAGTGTTCAGAGTTAGACAGGACTCCTTATGCCAGATACAAATCTTTGGTGGGACAGGGTCAGACCAAACTAAACAGTCTTTGGAGGTCATACGTGCCCTTTCCTTCCAGGTTTTGTCATCTACTTTGCGTACGGCCTTCGGAACAGCACCGAAGCAGCGCTGTCAAAGTGCGACACATACGGCCTGTCCAGCGCCATCACAGGAGCGCCCATGTCCACAGAGAAGGCCTTTCTGCACGAGGCGCCCATCGGCACTGTGGACGAGGAAGACGACTCCTAATGACGGTACACCGGCTGCAGGAATACATACTGGTCCACATTTTTCTACTAAACAAAGATCGATACACTTCTTTTTAAAAGAAAGGTATTCATTTTAATTATTTATGGCCACAAAATACACTAAAGTTCTTCTGAAATCTATAACTTTTAATGTTTGCACTTTTTTCCCCAAATTGGACTTTTTGAGCAAAAGCACAATTTTTATAAAAGAGGTTTTGGATGTACGTGTATTTATTGTAAAAAAGTTGTTTTGAATTGATTTGTCACCATTGTTGGTGTGTTTTCAATGTATTGAGGTTTAGTGGGTGCTATAGCCTTTAACAAAAATAGTTATCTGCAGTGAGTCCTGTATACAAAAGTATTTGAATCATTTTCTTCAGAGAACTATACTGTTTATCCGTTATGCAATACTTTGTGCTCTATGTACATGTTACTGCGTTACTGTGATGTGTGGGTATCTCACACTACATGAATACTATGGCAGCTTGTTTTCATAGATTTTTGGCCATAACATAATTTATAGTAAATAAAAGAATTGTTGCTTTAAAGAAGAAACATTATGCATTAGGGATGTACTGAACCGATATTCAGTATCGGTATCGGGCCGATATGGGTATTTTGTAAGGATCGGATAATATCAGATTTGTTAAATATGAAGCCGATTTACGTCACTTTTCAGCAGCTCACGCTTTACGGCTGCCGTAAACTAAATACGATGTAAAACTAGGGCTGGGCGATAAAACGACAACTAGATAAACAATATTTAGTATATCGGAATCGGATCGGATGACTAAAAATCTGGATCGGTACATCCCTATTATGCATGAATTTGGACTTAAAACATGATTATTTACTTTGGCATTTCATGTTTTAAAATGTGAAATAATTTCTTGAGTAAAATATATAATATGGATAAATATGTATAAAGGATAAGGAACGAGCTTAGCATGTAATAATACTACACTTTTACTACCTAAGGGGGATTTTTTATTTATGTTGCTCTTTTAATGTGGTTAAGATTGTGCATAATATGTCTCCTTTCAAACAATCATTGGATGCATTAAAAATGAATTTATTCAATCTCAATTAATCTCAATTTTTTTTTTTGAAATTCGATATACTTGATCAAAAATATGGCAAGGCAAGTTTATTTATATAGCACAATTCATACTCAAGGCAACTCAAAGTGCTGAACAAGATAAGAAAGCATTAAAATCATAAATAATCACAGAACATTAAAAAGAAAGATAAAAATATAAAATCCCTCAGTTGTAGCACAGTTAAACAGAACTGTCTTTAACCTGGTTTTAAACATTGTCAGAGAGGAGGCCTGTCTCACATCTTCAGGAAGACTGTTCCAGATTTTAGCAGCATGAATCTGAAAAGCAGCCTCCCCATGTTTAGTTCTGACTCTGGGCACTAACAGGAGTCCAGTCCCTGTGCTCCTCAGAGTCCCAGCAGGAGTCCAGTCCCTGTGCTCCTCAGAGTCCCAGCAGGAGTCCAGTCCCTGTGCTCCTCAGAGTCCCAGCAGGAGTCCAGTCCCTGTGCTCCTCAGAGTCCCAGCAGGAGTCCAGTCCCTGTGCTCCTCAGAGTCCCAGCAGGAGTCCAGTCCCTGTGCTCCTCAGAGTCCCAGCAGGAGTCCAGTCCCTGTGCTCCTCAGAGTCCCAGCAGGAGTCCAGTCCCTGTGCTCCTCAGAGTCCCAGCAGGAGTCCAGTCCCTGTGCTCCTCAGAGTCCCAGCAGGAGTCCAGTCCCTGTGCTCCTCAGAGTCCCAGCAGGAGTCCAGTCCCTGTGCTCCTCAGAGTCCCAGCAGGAGTCCAGTCCCTGTGCTCCTCAGAGTCCCAGCAGGAGTCCAGTCCCTGTGCTCCTCAGAGTCCCAGCAGGAGTCCAGTCCCTGTGCTCCTCAGAGTCCCAGCAGGAGTCCAGTCCCTGTGCTCCTCAGAGTCCCAGCAGGAGTCCAGTCCCTGTGCTCCTCAGAGTCCCAGCAGGAGTCCAGTCCCTGTGCTCCTCAGAGTCCCAGCAGGAGTCCAGTCCCTGTGCTCCTCAGAGTCCCAGCAGGAGTCCAGTCCCTGTGCTCCTCAGAGTCCCAGCAGGAGTCCAGTCCCTGTGCTCCTCAGAGTCCCAGCAGGAGTCCAGTCCCTGTGCTCCTCAGAGTCCCAGCAGGAGTCCAGTCCCTGTGCTCCTCAGAGTCCCAGCAGGAGTCCAGTCCCTGTGCTCCTCAGAGTCCCAGCAGGAGTCCAGTCCCTGTGCTCCTCAGAGTCCCAGCAGGAGTCCAGTCCCTGTGCTCCTCAGAGTCCCAGCAGGAGTCCAGTCCTTGTGCTCCTCAGAGTCCCAGCAGGAGTCCAGTCCCTGTGCTCCTCAGTCCCAGCAGGAGTCCAGTCCTTGTGCTCCTCAGAGTCCCAGCAGGAGTCCAGTCCCTGTGCTCCTCAGAGTCCCAGCAGGAGTCCAGTCCCTGTGCTCCTCAGAGTCCCAGCAGGAGTCCAGTCCCTGTGCTCCTCAGAGTCCCAGCAGGAGTCCAGTCCCTGTGCTCCTCAGAGTCCCAGCAGGAGTCCAGTCCCTGTGCTCCTCAGAGTCCCAGCAGGAGTCCAGTCCCTGTGCTCCTCAGAGTCCCAGCAGGAGTCCAGTCCCTGTGCTCCTCAGAGTCCCAGCAGGAGTCCAGTCCCTGTGCTCCTCAGAGTCCCAGCAGGAGTCCAGTCCCTGTGCTCCTCAGAGTCCCAGCAGGAGTCCAGTCCCTGTGCTCCTCAGAGTCCCAGCAGGAGTCCAGTCCCTGTGCTCCTCAGAGTCCCAGCAGGAGACCAGTCCCTGTGCTCCTCAGAGTCCTAGCAGGAGGCCAGTCCCTGTGCTCCTCAGAGTCCCAGCAGGAGGCCAGTCCCTGTGCTCCTCAGAGTCCCAGCAGGAGGCCAGTCCCTGTGCTCCTCAGAGTCCCAGCAGGAGGCCAGTCCCTGTGCTCCTCAGAGTCCCAGCAGGAGTCCAGTCCCTGTGCTCCTCAGAGTCCCAGCAGGAGGCCAGTCCCTGTGCTCCTCAGAGTCCCAGCAGGAGTCCAGTCCCTGTGCTCCTCAGAGTCCGGGCTGGTTCATATGGGACTAACATGTCACTAATATATTTTGGTGCGAGGCCATGGAGAGACTTGTAACAAGCAGAGCTGTTTTAAAGTCTTTTCTCTGAGCCACAGGAAGCCAGTGCAGAGACCTGAGGACTGGACTAATGTGGTCGTACTTCCTGGTTCTAGTCAGGACTAATGCGGTCGTACTTCCTGGTTCTAGTCAGGACTAATATGGTCGTACTTCCTGGTTCTAGTCAGGACTAATGTGGTCGTACTTCCTGGTTCTAGTCAGGACTAATATGGTCGTACTTCCTGGTTCTAGTCAGGACTAATATGGTCGTACTTCCTGGTTCTAGTCAGGACTAATGTGGTCGTACTTCCTGGTTCTAGTCAGGACTAATGTGGTCGTACTTCCTGGTTCTAGTCAGGACTAATATGGTCGTACTTCCTGGTTCTAGTCAGGACTAATGTGGTCGTACTTCCTGGTTCTAGTCAGGACTAATGTGGTCGTACTTCCTGGTTCTAGTCAGGACTAATGTGGTCGTACTTCCTGGTTCTAGTCAGGACTAATGTGGTCGTACTTCCTGGTTCTAGTCAGGACTAATGTGGTCGTACTTCCTGGTTCTAGTCAGGACTAATGTGGTCGTACTTCCTGGTTCTAGTCAGGACTAATGTGGTCGTACTTCCTGGTCCTAGTCAGGACTAATGTGGTCGTACTTCCTGGTTCTAGTCAGGACTAATGTGGTCGTACTTCCTGGTTCTAGTCAGGACTAATGTGGTCGTACTTCCTGGTTCTAGTCAGGACTGGAGCTGCTGCATTTTGAATGTACTGCAGCTGTTTTACAGCCTGTTTGGACAGACCTGTGAGCAGGCCATTGCAGTAGTCTAACCTACTGGAGACAAATGCATGGATAAGAATCTCCAGGTCTGCTTTAGACACTATGTTTTTGATCCTGACAATGTTTTTTAGATGGTAAAAACTCTTGTGTTGTGACTGTAAAGTCCCAGCTGAGCACCACTTTTCTGAAAAATAGTTGATCCAACTGCACACATAAACACACACACGATGCATCTTTGTCTTCCATCCAGATTTTTTGTTATCTACACATTTTTGAGTGCCTAAAGCTGAACATATACGGGTGCTGTGCATGTGGTACCTGTGTGAGGCCATGTCTCTAATGTTTACTGATGAACAGAGATGAGCCAAATTGATGAATATCTTTATCAGTGTGTTTATCATTCACTTAATAAAAGGTTTAAAGTATCATCAGCTGCATGAATCACGATTGACTCAAAAAGGAGAGATCTTTATAGTGGATAAAATTGGAGTGGGAATAGTGTTTTGTATAAAGAATGTGGATGCAAATACTGCTTCCTCTAAATAAATCTAGTTTACCGGTTGCACAGAGATATTTTAATTTGTGCAAGACTCAAATACTGTAAACCTAGAGGCTCCGCCCAAGCCTCTTGTCCTGTTTGCCGGGACAGTGGTGAAAGTGTTCCTTTAAGCTGAAGCTGCAGTGTTGTACAGAGGATTAATGTTTTCCATGTTACTTTTGAAGCTGGTGAATTTTCTCGCCTGGTTTTACTGCGGGACCCAAAATGCACAATAATTTTAAGCTTCAACATTTTTTCATTCGCCCAGTGGAGTGTATTTCTTGTTACAATTTGTATTTGTCAATGGATCAGATGCGATTCAGGTAGGCCTGTATGCCTTTTGTAAATAAAGTTTGTCTCTTATTCAGTTGGTCATTTTTTGTCTCTGGTCCAGTGGCCCGTCACATCTACACTGAGCAACAGAAAAAATAATGATGTATCCTCCCTATGACTATTATTAAAAATTCAGGTTCTTTGCCACCTCCATGGGAAAGCCAGATTCGGTCAGACCTCTGAGGCAAAGGCGAGGCACAAACTGGTTGTCTCACTTTAGTCAGCTGCGGCTAATATCACCCCCATGTAG